GCACTGTCTGACGCGTCTGCCTCCGCGACCCGAAAGGAGAAGCGGCGATGGAAGATGAAAATGAAGATGAAGATAGATATATTTTCTGACAGCTACGAATTTTTTACCTACTGCTAGCGAGTGTTGATTTCTGCAAACGAGGAATTAAACCCGTTCGATAGCAAATTGCAATTTTCACACTTAAAGAAAATATGAAACTCAATACAGAACAACCTCATTTCTTTGATCACGTAGCCAGAGGTCAATCAAAATTTGGGCTTCAATATAAAACAGCAGGATGTAAGCAAAAATAGGTAGGCTCACGGATAGCTTGAAGTTGCAGAATTCGTAGAATTTAATGGAAGTCAGAGTGGCTACGCTTTAAACGAAACGTTTATTAAATCGTTATTATCCCCCAAGATTAGATTTTGCGGATATTTTCATTCGATAGCTAAGAAATTGAATTTTAAAATTTCCGGCGAGTAATTATTTCGTTAAGTATTCAAATCTTTTAACTACTGCGTCAGAAGCAACTCTGTTGAAAGTTAATTCTAAATGCTAACTTCACGTTCATAATTCATCGTAATTAAAAAATATATAATGCATCGGTTATCCAGCTGCTTGAGTTTGAAATTAATCCATCATCCTATCTTCATAAAAAAATATCTGAAACGGTCGTGTGACCTGTTTTCTTCACGTGACACAGTTCAAAGTTCAAGTTCCAAGCCGAGGGAGACGGAAATGTATTTTTATATTAATCGGTTCATTTGAACAACGAATTTACTCCAACCCATTCCGAATCAGTAGCAGTCACCGAATTCGATAATATGTCGAGGAACGACGACAGAATGAAAATGTGTTGTGTCTTGATGGAATCACATCAGATGTCGGATCGGATACACATCCGATGTGCCATCTGGACCAAACCTGGTAAGCAGGAAGCAGGAATCACAAGCCAACCTGAAATTGCCCCCTGATTCATTTTTCGCTCGGTTTGCCTGCTTTCAGCGATCGTACAATTTGTAGGGCTTTAGTCCTTTCGCTTCCAAATTCAGATCGGAACGTCTGAAGCTGCTGGTTGCTTTAACTGGCATCCAGACGATGCACTACTGTGTTCAAACGAAGCAGCTTTGCAAATGCTTGAGGTAAAATCATTATGAAAAAAATAAGTGTGGATATTATGGTTTAATTAGCAGATTGCTGGTTTTCGATACAGCCGGTAAGAAAATGACATTTTCTGTCTATTCGGTGGATTTAAGCACCGGTGGCGAACCGTCCATAAAATTATTATGTATCTAAAGTTGTAGCAATGGGAAAAAGTCCCCTAAGTAAAAGACTCACACTTTAGCCAAAAATCATTAGTGAGTTTTCTCTTCGACAAAGAGATGTGTTTTCCATCAGAATAATCAACGAGGTCAAGGTACCTAATCAAACTAACGAGCAAAAATTTGTCACACTGCGAAACGATAATGGTTCAACCTCACTGCAGTGGCTCTAATGAGAGAAATAAAACACAGGATGATGTTAAACCCGATCAGAAATTAAAATAAATGTATGAAATAAATTAATTAATATTTTAAATACTGATACCGGATTTACACCACGTGAAATGGTATCAGCGGTCTCACCACGTGGCGAACGCAGTCCATCATTCAACAAGACTATCATACATCTGCTATTTTGCGTGATGACCCCTTTGGCTAAAGGTTAGTGAAACGAACTCCGAAAAACATTATTGAGATATTCTCGACTTAACGTATTCAAAGTTTTCAAGAAATTTTATGATAAAAATATTTAGTTTAAAAGCGAACATCAGAAGAACGAGATGGTGCATAAGAAGATGTCATTCTAGTACCCCTGATATAGGTGAACTAAAAATCGAGAGAAAGGTAAGTAATTGTGCCGCCTGAAAATAATCAATCACCGTCCAACAAAGCGACAGGACCTCTTAGCTCATTCGAAGCTACTTCCTTCTGCTGACTGCCGTGCACTAACATTTAAGGTGAGTGGTTCATCAACCTCATAAGAACAACAAATTTAAATTTCATATATTGCATGGCAGTTGAATAATCAGCCGGCAAGTTCGGTTTTAATTTTTCATCGTTTCTATGAACGTCTGCTTCGTCGGTGTGACTCAGGGACGACATTAAAATAGCCTTCGAGTGATGCTCGACCATCACTGCTGTGTTTTCAGTCGGTGCAGAGGTAAAACCTCTCTGCGCGATCAATGTCGCCAACAGCCAGAGTCTCGGAGGCATTTCCGGTGGTGTACAATTGAGGGTTTTTGTTTGCCTTCGCCAAGAAACAGCCGAGGCAGCGTCTGCTTCAATCTTGTTGCGTCTTGTGACGTGACGCTGATCGACGAGTCCCCTGATCGACGTCAGCAGTGCCCGCCTTTCAACGTGTCGAACGTTCGCTTGTTTGGTGGAAACATCTGCGTTTGCTCGCTCTTTCGTTTCAGCAATCGTCATTTCATCTGCGTCTCTGTCCCATTCGTTTGTCTGATCATTTGTGATCGTTTCAACGCGCTGCTTTGCTCCGTCTACAGCGTGCGAACCGTGTTCATGCCTTTGGCAGATGTTTTTATCCGTACGGCGACATTTGGATCACGTGCTGTTCGAAGACCTTCTGTTTGAGGTGGCACAGAGGCAGTTTCCGAGGTAAGAACGCCGTCGATCTTGAAAACTCGTCCATCTCGACGTAAAATCGGACAGACATCTGATGGTTGGTACTTTCGTCGTGAACGAGGCCGTTAAATTTACAAAACCGCCTTCTTCTCCACCGAGTATGGACAGTAGGCAGAGTAGCAGAATCTGATCGTGCTTTTCGCCCAGGGTTGTGTAGTGCTCGACCCACTACCATGTGTGGCCTATGCATACTTCAACGCCCTGACGGATAAGGCAAGCAACCGCATCAAACGCGCGCTCCATCAGGCCTTCAAGACATGATAAACAAATAACCACTTTTGTTGTACACGAAACAAAACCAAACTCGTCAAAATATGTCTGTTGAACGTTGAGCATTGTTTACATGGTGACTGTGATGTGTACCGCTTCATAACAGACCCTAAGAAGAACTAATTCAGGCCAGGTCGATACAGAACAACAATCTTTTTGATAATCCTCAGTACCCTTATCATTGGATGCATGTTCGACAGGAATAGTGAGGTTCGTTTCTTGGAAAAGAACTTTATTTCTCGGCCCTTTCATCATCATCACCGTCATTATAATCATCATAACTATCGTCGACATCCTCACAGTCGGTAGCGCATGCTAAGCTTTACGGACATTAGGAAAACAGACTGAAGCAGTCTCGAGCGTTCGTTGAGAATCCTTCACACACGGCGGATAGGAGCAGGATGGAAGAACCCCCAAAACGATGTCGAATATAAGATAGAAAGAAATACAGTTTGGAATTGGTAGTGCTCAGGAAGAGCGTCAATAATCTTCCATGTACAGCATGATTAACACAGAACAAAACCTTTCAATGCAAAACAAGCCATTTTCCCAAGTGTTACCGATCGTACTGTGTTTTCAGATCAGATATGCTGTGTGTGTTCATTTGGATCATCATCTTGAACCGTTTATCCAGACACAACTCCCTTTTCAACACATTTGCTATAGAGCAGCAGTTACTGCAACGTTGAAGAAACAGTTCCTATACAAAAGTAAATATGCTTCGTTGCAAGATGACCTCCTGGCCCATTCCTATCGCTCTCACATGGCAAACTCGCGAGGGGATGGTCTTTGTTCAAACAGTTTGTCTAACAGGGCTAGCAGCCCTTCATTGCTCTTCTCATCTGCTGAGATCTTCTGTTCCCCAAACGGTGCATGGCATTCCTTACTCAGTCTTCACCTCATCATCCTCTGAGGACTACGACCCCTGTTGAAGATCAGCAGTTATTCTGGCAGTTGGGTGAATGCCATATCAGTCAAGACGAAACGAAATTCATACTTGTAGCCCATGTATTGCATTTTTTTCCTGTAACGAGACGTAGCTCTAAAAGATGAGAGATCTTTCACTTTTTGATGCATAATGGAAATTTATTCAAGCAATAATTTCAGGAGCTCGAAATTCAGCCAACTACTGGCCTAAAATCGAGAACAAAGTCCAAAGGTATTTTGCATGTTGCAAGTTTTTACTATTTATCCGTGTGGCCCCGTGTCTTAATTATTGCCATTGCTCTGTCATTATACACCTCTACCACACAACATGATTACGGAAGAAGTCAAAGTAGATTACAACGGTTACAGAGTGAGGTTTTTC